CTTGCAATGAGGAGCAGGATATAAATCTCTTGCAACCTTTTGGATCTTCATGACCTTGCTGGCAAGATGGTCAAGCACAGAGAAACCAATGACAATATTATGAATATCAAGTAAGGGAGATGTTTCCCAGTGTCCTTTGCCTTAGCCACAGCCATGTTCGGTTCACTCCTGAGCACAAAAAGGAGGCTGATACCAAAAGTCTCATAACACAGTCCATTTAACAAGGTTAATGTCTGCATTTTTCCATCTCCCACACTGGCCAGGTGCTGCCAGGAATATTATGGTCAGTGCCTTTCCACTCTATTGTATTTACTGCCTCTTACTGCCAGCCTGGAACTATAAAGTATTCAGTCAGCACCTCGCCAATGTCACAGAGCCTTCAGTTATAGGCATGCAACAAAAAAGTAAGTTTGTAGATCTTTTATAGCAGGCAGCTATATACAAACATGCGAAAGAGAGATCTTGATCTCTCCCACTGACTTGCTGGTCTTTGACTGGTGAGTCATCATTACATATGCACACTGAGTTCTGGCCTGACCTATGGTAGGTTGCACCACCAGCATGACAACCCTCTTTTATTGAGAGAAGGGAAAAGGTAGAGAAAGAAAAAGAAGGTGAAAAAACAGGCAATAGCTATTGTTTTGCACAGGGTGTACAGGGTGTTAGCTTTTGTTCATCTATTGTTCTTCTGCCCACATGGAAGAACTACCATCAGCAGCATGTAGGGATGTGAGAGAAATTTAATTCATTTTGCATTCAAAAGTGAACCTACCTAAATTTATACTTTTCGGAACAATACACAAACCAAAACACAGCCATCCTTAAAAGAAATTGCACTTCTCTGAATTTTGCAATGTAGCCATCTCGCTAAGAAATGTACATAATATATGCAAATATTAGCAAAAATAACATACATAAACATGGATTATATTGGGGGGAATTACTTTGAGAAATGGGCAAAACTGCATACAAAAGTGCACCTACCAGAAATTCGTACTGCAGTGCTGGTGAATTTGCACGCAGACTTTTTTGAATGGGGACCTTGCAAGTAGAAGTACAAATGTAGAGAACTAAACAAAAGACTGGGGGAAACGAGAAACTGGGATTCCCCCAGCCCTACTAACAAGTCACTGATTTCCTTGCTAACTTAAATTGCTGGGCAAGTGCAAGTGTGAGGCTAGCAAACACAACTTCTGGGCTTGCTGTGGGTGGTTGTGGAAATACCACACAGGAAGCCGCATTTTAGCTGACCAGGCCAGATTCATCATAATTCCAGCCCACTGTTGTCTAATTCAGCCTGCAGTCACCCTCCAGGGTCACAGGCAGAGGTCTTTCCCATTAACCGCCACCTGATCCTTTGAACTTGAGGTGCCAGGAATTCAAACTGGGAAATGCTGCATGGTCTACCACCAAGCTATGGTCTGTCCCACAATATGACAGCACTCTCTCCCTCACCAACCTATTCCGCTTTTAATGCATAGGAAACAAAGATCTTCCCCTCCATTTTGTCCCCAGAAGGACGTGCAATAGTATGGCCCACAGCTGCAGCATTGCAATGGCATGGTTTTCCCCTGGCAACAATCTGGGGAAAATATTTTTAGTATTGTGTTTTCATTTGGGGTGTGCAATGGATCCAGCCGCATCCCAAATCTCAGGATGAAGTGGGGTGTTTCTGGGCTTGTCTGAATTGAAGCAGTGACACGTCTGCCCCAAGTGTTTTGTGGTGCTGTACTGATTTAGACAGGGACGCGGGTGGCGCTGTGGGTTAAACCACAGAGCCTAGGACTTGCCGATCAGAAGGTTGGTGGTTCGAATCCCTGTGACGGGGTGAGCTCCTGTTGCTCAGTCCCTGCTCCTGCCAACCTAGCAGTTCGAAAACACGTCAAAGTGCAAGTAGATAAATAGGTACTGCTCCGGCGGGAAGGTAAACGGTGTTTCCGTGCGCTGCTGTGGTTCGCCAGAAGTGGCTTAGTCATGATGGCCACATGACCTGGAAGCTGTATGCCAGCTCCCTCGGCCAATAAAGCGAGATGAGTGCTGCAACCCCAGAGTCAGCCATGACTGGACCTAATGGTCAGGGGTCCCTTTACCTTTACTCATTTAGACATTAACAAGATTCTGCAAGTCTACATTGGGCAGGGCAGGGTGACAGATGAAAACCTGGTATTTAAAATGCAGACTTTCTTCTGTTGCTTGCCACAGTGTTGGTGGCAGAGGAAAGGGGTGTGTGTGTTAGAAAAGAGAAATAATTATTTCTTTCCTTTGTCCTCCCCTATTGCTGCTGCCACTGTTGCTGCTGGGGTAAGTGAGCTGAGAGGAAAAAGTTGTTCCATCAAATAGCAGCCCCCTCTTTAAGCAAGGCATCACCCGGCAGCTGATGGGCAGTGGGGACCATACCCTGTTCCAGAGCTAAGGTGCAATCAAGAGCTCACTTTCAGTTCCTAAGCAAAGTCCTGCCCTAATCTTCCTTCTCATCTGATGTGATGCCAAGTGAAGGGGAGATGGCTGAGACTTCTCCAAAATGGATTCATGGGCCAAACAGAGATGTCTGGCAGGACACTGTTCATAGGCTGGAGGTCCCCACATCCCCGCCTGCTTAGAAGCATGAAAAATCAGGGTTCTAAACCAGGCATCCCCAACCTGCGGCCCTCCAGATTTTTTGGCCTACAACTCCCATGATCCCTAGCTAACAGGACCAGTGGTCAGGGATGGTGGAAATTGTAGTCCAAAACATCTGGAGGGCCGAAGGTTGGGGATGCCTATTCAGGGTGCTTTCACAAGTAGAATAATCAGTCAAGCTGGAGAGTGACATGGATGGTGATCAGGGTTGGGGTACAACTAGATGACTCAGCCCTGCATGCACACACAGACCCCTCACATGCTTAGCTAGCACTAGTGTGCACTCCTGAAGTGGACTAGCATACATAGAATATCTAAACAGCGAGATTACCAGAATGCCCATTTTATCAGGCCAGAATGCACTGTTACAATGGAAGAACCCCAGAAATAAAACCAGGTTTTGTGGAAGTAGCAGAAAACAGTCCCATCAATAGAAGCCACACCTGAATAATTGATAGAACAGTCCCTTCCTGGGTAGTTTATCAACCAACCGCAGAATATATGCCGCGGTAGCATCTCCTTGCCTCTGTGCAACCATTGCAATTGACTTCCTCCAATTGGATTGTTGCCACAATTCTGCTCCACATAAGCAGGGAAAGTGAGAAAGAGATGAGCCATTTATACTAGCTCAGTACCCAGCTCTGAGTATATGTGTTGTGTGTCAGACAGCTTTTAACAGAAACCGGAACAAATCCTTTTTTTCTTTTCTTTTTTTAATAGTGAAGGGGGTGGGGGACAGAAATGCCTGCTTTAGCTGATTTAGTGCACAGAAATGGTGACACAGCTGGACGGGGTGACACAGCTGGAGAATCAATTTCTACCATTATTCATAAAATATGCAGGGAGAAACAGCCCAAGTCCCCCTTTTTGTCACTTGCAGGGGGGAAAACTGCCGGGAATGATAACCAGCTGAGTGGCTGAAGGGAAGCAGAGCCAAGTTGGCACTACTGTAGAGAAGAATCTGAGATCAGGGTGGGCTGGATGGGATTGAAGCAAACTGGAATTTTCCTGCAAAGACTGGAATTTATATTCTCCCCCAGATACTAACTAAAACTAGAGACTTGCTAGACTTGTAGCTTCGGCAAGGAGACTACATCATGTGCTCTCAGACAACGGCAGGTTGTGTTGCATTCTGCCCAGCATCAGCCCACATGTATACACAGGAACAGAGTGTGCTTTCTGCCTATAACAGGGCCGTAGCTCATTGGTAGAGCATTTGCTTTCTATAGAAGAGAAGAAGAAGAGTTTGGATTTGATATCCCGCTTTATCACTACCCGAAGGAGTCTCAAAGCGGCTAACATTCTCCTTTCCCTCCCCCCCCACAACAAACACTCTGTGAGGTGAGTGGGGCTGAGAGACTTCAAAGAAGTGTGACTGGCCCAAGGTCACCGAGCAGCTGCATGGGGAGGAGCAGAGACGCGAACCCGGTTCCCCAGATTACGAGTCCACTGCTCTTAGCCACTACAACACACTGGCTCTCAGAGGGTCCCTGATTCAATTCTTGGCATCTCCAGGTATGGCTGGGAGAAACCCTGGGTGGCCACTGCCATTCAACGTGGACAATACTCAGTTTGATGGACCAGTGGTGTTACTGAGGATAAGGAATTTTCCCGTGAAATGTGGACAGCCATAGAAAGATATGAATGGGTGTCAAATCTTAGATACATTTGAAAGGAGCCATCTTCGGGGAAAATCTTGTGTGGTTGCTGCCTTGTGACAGGCTATGTCACATTAGTTTTTCCATGGAAACCACTTAGGGGCTTTCTGTCAAGAAACCAGGGTATAAATTTTGTAAGAGGAATAATACAAAATAGTTAGGATGTGTCCTAAAAATCAATTAAGTAAAAAGAGAACCTTTAACATGGATATTAGAACCTTCCTTTTTCAAATGTATGTATGTTTCCAGGTAAAGGTAAAGGTAAAGGGACCTCTGACCATTAGGTCCAGTCGTGGCCGACTCTGGGGTTGCGGCGCTCATCTTGCTTTACTGGCCGAGGGAGCCGGCGTACAGCTTCCGAGTTATGTGGCCAGCATGACTAAGCCGCTTCTGGCGAACCATAGCAGCGCACGGAAACACTGTTTACCTTCCCGCCAGAGCGGTACCTATTTATCTACTTGCACTTTGACATGCTTTCGAACTGCTAGGTGGGCAGGAGCACGACTGAGCAACGGGAGCTCAACCCGTCGCAGGGATTCAAACCGCCTACCTTCTGATCGGCAAGTCCTAGGCTCTGTGGTTTAACCCACAGCGCCACCCGCGTCCCTGTCTAAATCAGTACAGCACCACAAAACACTTGGGGCATTTACTTATTTACTTTATTTACTTCTGAATATCCTGGAGACAGGATGTTGTCTCCAGGATACAACATAGTTATCTCTCAGATAACTTAGATGCAATTGTATGTGTGTGTATACACACACACACACACACACACACTTGCATCTAAGCTATCTCACATATGACACAATTTATATGGCTCTATGCACAACTGTTCCACTACTTTACCTATTTATTTATTAATTAATAAGCCTTTCAGTTTATCACAAGTTGTGTTGAGGCTATATAACAAAGGTTTACAATGGAAGATTTGTTATTAGCTTTCAGAGATTCTTAACTGATAGAGAATTCTTTAATATATTTTCTGTGTAGGTGTCTTTCTTCACAACAGATATTAACATTCCTATGTACTGCAAATTTTAGAAGGATGATGACTGCATTGCATCAACATATTTTGCGTGAGATAATGACAGAACTCTATAGGGGGAACATACATCAAAGAAATCTGCAATAATCCATAAGTGAAAATACATCATATGGCAAAAACCATTTCAGTGTGGGAATATTAGCATGGCAATTGGAGAAAATGAATTGCCTTAAAAAGTCATATACACACCCACACAAAACACCAAAAGAGCATAAATTAATGCTGTTACACCAGGTTGGAAGCTGAATAATGTTGGACATTATCATTTAACTTGTTGCTCCAAAACTTTCCAGAGAATACCCATTTCCCCATAAACCTGTCAGGCTAGTTTATATATATCATAGGTGCCAACTCCCTAGGGCCCTGGGTGCCCGATCACTCACAAAATTCCCCATGAAGGGGTTGGGCACTCACAAATTTCAGTGCCAGGGCCATACACACTGCATGGCATCCACAGCCCCAGGCACCATAGTCACAGGTTCAAGCTGGCATTCCCGATATGTATCATTTTGTAATAATTGTGCTTAATCATAGTTGCAATGTACATAATTTTCTCAGTCTATTGAGCTATAAGAGGAGACATCCTCCCCCCAACCAATTTGTAGCTATTATAATCCTAGCAGCTGTTGTAAGGTTGAATACTACAGTGGTACCTCGAGTTAAGTACTTAATTCGTTCTGGAGGTCCATTATTAACCTGAAACTGTTCTTAACCTGAAGCACCACTTTAGTTAATGGGGCCTCCTGCTGCTGCCGCGCCGCCGGAGCACGATTTCTGTTCTCATCCTGAAGCAAAGTACTTAACCTGAGGTACTATTTCTGGGTTAGCGGAGTCTGTAACCTGAAGTGTATGTAACCTAAAGCGTATGTAACCCGAGGTACCACTGTATTTCTTCATCATTTTCAGGAACATCTTTTTGATAACCAAACATAGGTTCCAAGGGTATATTATATCCTAACCTATCAGAAATATTGGCCTGAATGGATTTCCAAAATATTTCTATTTTACAACGATTCCAGAAAATATGTATGTGATCTGCTTTATTTAACCCACATCTCCAACCTTTACCCTATCCTAACTTATATGTTAAACTAAATTTATAAACTCTGGAAAGAGGGTTTTAAAACTGGCCCCTTTCTGAGTTATGGAGATGTGGATCTAGATAGGTCTGTGGACCCAAAGCAATGCCTACAATGACTGGCAACATCTCTCCAGGGTTTCAAACACATCCCTTTCCCAGCCCTACCTGAAGAACAACCCTACCTGAAGAAACTGGGAACATCTTGGATGGTTAGCTATGCGCTGCCAAAAAAGAGGTTTTGTTGTTGTTTATATTATTATTATTATTATTATTATTATTATTATTATTGTTAATACAAGAAAAAACACACACAAAAAAGCACAAATACCAAATTACACACAAATTACAAAAATAACCATAGACACATAATTTTCTTGGCAAACAATAAAGCATCTATTGGTCTTAACACTAAAGACCCAACTTCCCGTCTATTCCATATTTCAAATTCATATTACTTATTGCCAATACACATTTTTTTCATAATTAAACTTATTCTCAATAAATCTAATTTCTTCTATCTACCTAGCAACTATTACTGAAGTTCCTCGAATGCTGCAACAGAATTTAAACTACTATATTTATTTTTTCAGATATTGTTTCAAAACCTCCCATTTAGAAACAAATTCCTGTTTTGATTTATTCTTTATTTTTTCTGATAAACCATCTAATTCAGCATATTCTGTCAGCTTTTGGATCCAATCTTGTATAGAGGGGATTTCATTACTCTTCCATTTTGCTGCGATCAAAACTCTTGCTGCCGCCGTCGCATATAAAAAGATACCCTTCCTCTTTTGTGGAATATCCAAATCTGTTATTTCCAGGAGGTAGGCCTCTGGTTTTTTATTGAAAGAGATCTTTAGCATTTTTTGCAGTTCTGCATGTATACTCTCCCAGAATAGCTGTATTTTCCTACATATCCACCACATATGGTAGAATGTCCGCATCTCCAACAATTACTTGACACATTTTTATACATTTTTGAAAGTTTCCATGGTGTTAGATACCATCGATGTTGCATTTTTTGAAAGTTCTCTCTAATCGTGTAACAGTTTGTGAATTTCCAATTGATCTTCCATAAATTTTCCCATTGGGCCATGGTTATTGAATGGCCAAAATCCTGGGACCACCTCACCATTGCCACTGTTACCTCCTCCTCCTTGACTGTCCAGTCAAGGAGGAGTCGGTAAGTTTTGGAAAGAGTTTTTCTTTTAGAATTTACAAGATCAGATCTGAATCAGGAAATTTCTACTGAGAACCCCTTTTGTTTGTTAGATTTAAATTTTTCAAATAACTGATGGTATTGGAACCAGTCTGAAATGTGTTCTTTTATTTCCTCAATTTTTTAAAAAAATTATTTGGTTATCTTCATTTTTTAGAAGTATTTTATATGTTGGCCAGCTTTCCTGAGTATTTTTCCGTTTTACTGCTATGGCTTCTACTGGAGAAGTCCACCATGGGACTTTAGGCTCCATCAGGTCTTTATATTTTTCCCATACAGCAAAGAGTGACTTTCTTATTATATGGTTGGTAAAATTTTTATGAATTTTCGCTTTTCCATATATTAGGTAGGCGTGCCATCCCCAACGGTTGTCAAAACCTTCCAGGTCCAGGAGGTCCGGATCCTGCAACGTGCACCAATCTTTTAGCCAGGTGAAACAGGCTGCCTCGTAGTAAAGTTTTAGGTCGGGTAGGGAAAAGCCTCCTCTCTCTTTTATGTCTATTAAGATCAGGTGTTTAATCCTAGGTTTCTTCCCTTCCCACAGGAATTTGGAAATTTCTCTTTGCCATATCTTGAGACAACCTGCTTCACCCAGTATCGGAATCATTTGAAATAAAAAGATTAATTTTGGAAGCACATTCATCTTTATAATGGAAATCCTACCCAGAAATGTTAATTTTAGTTTACTCCAGGTTACCAAGTTTTTCTAATCTCTAACCAAGTTTTGGTGTAATTATCCTGAAATAAGTTTATGTTCTTGGGGGTGATCCAAATACCCAAGTATTTTGCTTTTGAAGAGATTTTCAGGCCCAATATTTTTGTAAGTCGTCCTTTTCTTCTTTGGTTACATTTTTGTTTTTGTTATATTCAGCTTAAAGCCTGCCACTTCTCCAAATTCTTTAATCAGTTCCAGCACTCTTTTCAGACTTTCTTTAGGGTTTTCAGTCATAACAAGTAGATCGTCCGCGAAAGCTTTAATTTTATATGTTTTGTTTCCCAGAGTGATGCCTTTAACAAGCTGATCCCTTCTTATCTGATTGTTCAAGACTTCCATCACCAAGATAAATATCAGTGGAGACAGTGGGCAGCCCTGTCTGGTTCCCTTGTTTATTTTGCACTCCTCAGTAATTCTTCCGTTGATGATCAATTTTGCATATTGTTCCGAATAGATGGCATTTATTCCTTTACAAATATTTTCTCCCAGTCCGATTTCTTCCATTAATTTTTTCATAAACTTCCAGGACACGTTATCAAAAGCTTTTTCAGCGTCCACCAACATAATAGCTGCTGGTTTATCAATTTTTATATCCAAATATTCGAATACATTAATCACACATCTAATGTTGGATTGCATAAAACGTCCGGGAAGAAATCCGGTTTGATCTTTATGAATTATCTCTTTCAGCACCATTTTTAATCTATTTGCAAGAATGTCTGCGAATATCTTGTAATCGTTATTTAGCAGTGCAATGGGTCTGTAATTGGCCATGTTTGAGGCATCTGTTCCCTGTTTATGGATAAGAGTAATAAAGCTGTCCTTCCAGGTTTTCGGAAGCTTTCCATTTGCCAGAATATTATTCATTAAGTCTTTCATGGGAAAAAATAATGCTTGTTCTAACGTTTTATAGTAATTAGCTGGAAGACCATCTGGGCCCGGTGTCTTTCCTATTTTTGATCTCTGTATAGCTTGTTGCACCTCCATAGCTGTTATTGGTGAGTTCAAGATTTCAGTTTTTTCCTTAGGTATTATTGGTAGTTTATTTTTGCCCAAATAATCAATTATTTTTTCTAGAGTCTCTGGACCTTCTTTATATAGTTTTCTGAAAAAACTAGCAAAGTTTTTACTAATTTCCTTCGGTTCTTGAATCCATTTGTCTTCAATTTTAATTTTATTGATAATTCTATCTTCCTTTTTCTTCTTTAATTGCCAGGCCAGAAGTTTGCCAGGTTTATTTGCAAACTCAAAATTTCTATGTCTCAACCATTTTATCTTCCATTCTATCTCTTCATTTATTATCATGGAGAATTGCGTCTGTAAAATTTTTATACTTTGCTTAATTAGTTTATCATCTGGTTTTTGGAAAAGGATCCTTTCCTTTTTTCTAATTTCCTCCCAGATCTCCATTTTCTTCTTCTGCTTTATTTTCCTTTGGAATGCGTTTTGTTGTATAAAGAAGCCTCTTATGACGGCTTTACCCGCGTCCCAAACTGTTTCTAGATATACTCCTTGATTTAAATTAAACTTAAAATATTCTTCTAAGATTTGCTTGGCCTTCTGTACAATTTTTTCATCGTTTAGCATACTCTCATTAAGTTGCCACCTTTTAACCTTTTCTTCTTTTCCTTTAAAGTTAACCCAGACTGCGCTGTGATCTGAAATTGTCCTTGGATGGATTTCTGCTTTTGTAATATTATTCAATAAATCCTTTGTTGTCCAGATCACGTCG